CATGCCTCTAAATTTTCAGCTCAAACAAAGAGAAGACTTTTTGGCAATAATGCAAAATGTTATGTTTGGTGTAAAAGCAACACAACTCATCACCCTTAACACACTGTTCCCACTTTCAAACATGGTGGTGCTAGCATCATGGTTTGGGCCTGCTTTTCTTCAGCAGTATCAACAAAGATTGTTAAAATTAATGTGAAGATCGATGTACCCAAATACAGGAGCATTCTGGAAGAAAACCTGGAGTCTGCAGAGGAGACTGGGACAGAGATTTAGTCAAGTTTCCAAACCTGTATCCCATCAAGAATCTGTGGAATCTCCATCCTACCTCACTGAGGTCGAGCTGTTTTGCAAAAAAGTATTGGAAAAAATCTCAGTCTCTCGATGTGCAAAAATGCTTTAATAAGGAAAAACCATACTGTCAATGAAACATTGATAAAGTTCCATAGTTAAATTCAGGCCTGCCGTAAATCAGTTATTAGAAACTCTTTAAAGATTGAGGAAGAAAAAATTGTTGCTACAGTGATCAAAACTACAGTTGTGATTGCTTTTGCAAAGACACCTCCTTAGACTTTTCTGAGCTTCAACATTTATTTCAGGAAGCCACCAGCGGGGGGAGAACTGAGACTTCCCACAGGATGTGTTTTCCTTTCTCTTTATCCTCTGCTGTTTTCTGTAATTTAAAATCTCAGCTTATGTGAAGTAATTTGACTAACCTAAGCAAGAGATGTTAAAATCTATATATTCTAAAGATACTTAGATTAGAAAAATACATTTATTGAGAGTTGGACCAGCTGTTTGGCATAAAAAAAAATAAAATAAAATAACCATAGGCTTTAACAAAAGATAACCTTTAACAAAATACAAAGAAGTTATATATTTTCAGAAGACTGAAGAAAACTGTCTTTATTGATCTCCTACTGGAGAAATTCACTTGTGAAATCGGCTTTTATAAACAAACAAACAGAAGGTGCACAAAGGAGGAAAAGGTTCATGAACTATATACACTGCATCCAGATATATAGAGTGGATTGTAAATATAAGTAGAGATTGAAGGTGACTTATATATACAATATCTTATATTATGTACAGTAAAGTTATGGCTGCTAAGTGCAATATCTGGTTAGCTAAATAGATCATTAGTATAAGTTATTGCAGGGTTATTACACCAGATTATATTTAAGTGACATTGCTAAGTTTTAGGTAATATTTATACATGGACTCTTTAGATTTAAAGCCAAGGTTGAAACTTATGTCAGAGCTGAAGTAGTAGAAAGCATAACAAATAAAGACATAATAAATTATTTTTTTTAAAGATTACATTTTGTTTCTAAAATTAAAAAGTGTTCATTCAATACTGTTCTACATTAATTTCTGCAGTTTTTAAATTTACAAATGGGCTGGAAGTATTGGCTCATGTTTAATCTAAGCAAACAGTTTTTGGGGAGGGGCTATGCAAACTCTTCTTCTTTTAAAACAATGCCTTCAGCAGTTCTGTACAGTTTCCATTGGACACAGAAAGTAACTTTAACCCATATATATACATTTTTTTTTTCAAACATACTGCCATTAAAGGAGTTTTGTTTTTGTGGTTCTTTTTCACAGTGAGAATTTCAGTTGATTTCTATGACATTTATCAAAAGAATTACAATTTTGACTGAAATGACAATGACTTGTTTTCTTACAGGAGTCTGGAGTGAGATCAGACTGGATCAGTCAGCCTCTCAGGTGCAGAGACCTGGGGACACAGTGAAGATGTCTTGTGTCATTTCTGGTTACAGAATGACAAGCAAATATATCAACTGGATTAGACAGAAATCAGGGAGAGCTCTGGAATGGATTGGATATATGAACACTGGTAGCAACGATCCCACCTATGCCAGTTCATTTCAAAGTCGTTTCACCATGACTGAAAATGTCCCCAGCAGCACCCAGTACCTTGAGATCAGCAGACTAACAACAGAAGATTCTGCTGTTTACTTCTGTGCTCGAGAGACACGGTGACTGAAGGCAGTGGAGCAGCTGTACAAATACAGCCACAGACAAGAAACAATAGGCTCATAGAGACATCTGGTCTCTCTCCAATGAATAATAATAAAGTTAATACATCAATATCAAACCTATTTCTCCAATCTAACAACAACATTCTAGTTACCCTGATAGTGATTATATTTATAGAGATCATTTTGTTCTCATAAATTAATGTTTTACTAGACCACTCTTTGGAAAAATAAACAACTGTTGTTAATATGTTTAATACAAAATACTACATTGCTTTGTTTGAGTGGTTGGGCTCAGTTTTGTCTTTTTATTCTTTATTTGATGAAAGATTTGCACGTCAGAGTTAACATGGCTCAATAAACAGCAGTACTGGATAAGAAATTATTAAATTGATAAACATTAATCCATTATTTATTAGCCAGACTTTCTGCCTACTCTCCTCCTAGCTCTTTACCCCAGCATCGAATAGTAATACTAATATCCTCTAAAGTGGATGAATCTGAAAAGGAGCCAAACTTTAACTATTTTTGAAGTAAAGCAGATAAATTGTATACAGAGATCAGCTCTGAGGCTCATGGCAGATAAATAAACAGCATTGACTTATGAACATATTAGATTATTATAAAAAACGGTTTACACTCCTACAAAGTCATGTCCACTTCCACGAATGACTTCAGTAGAGCAACATGTTGAAGCACAGATATAATCTCAACCCAGTGACTGAGAGACATGCTTCCATTATCAAACCCAGTCCTATAGAGAATTACTGTCTAAGGAATGTTCTCTTTAATTTAAACAGTATTTTCTATTTTTCTCCTGCCTTAACAAACCTTAGCTCATTTAACATTGTGACATTCATCCAATTAAGGTGATAAGTCGTATCCCAACCACAGTATTTTCTCTATCAACTGTTTTGATATTTTAGGGAGTTTGAAAAAAAAACATTAGAATTTTACTATGAACTGAAAAAAGTATAATTAACGGAGAATAAGACATGCCAATTATACAATATTTAAAAACCAAAGCATTTTGGGATTTAGAGGTCTTTGTATTATTAATAAACAGATGTGTCAGGTAACAAAATCTAAATACTTTACCTTATTTAAGTGCAAATTTTGCCTACCTCTACTTTACTACAGTCATTTTGTTTCGACAACTATTCACTTCTACTCCTTGCAGTTTTTGCAAATATCTCTATTTTGTACTCCTTATATTTTAAAAGGAGACTTCTTCGTTTTGTTTTATTTAAACTCATTTTCGTTATGGCCTGTTGGTATTTAAAAAAAATAAACTAATCAAAATAATTTGTTTCATCCAGACAATTAATTTATTGCTGATAGGACTCAGTACTGCACCGACTTTTTGTTTGCCTCGTATCAAATTAAATTGTTTTTCTATATGATGCAAAGTTAAATTTGATGCTGTTGCCTTTAGTTAGAAAACTAAGAAACTTAAGTATAAGGAAGTTATCATTCAAAATTGTAGAAAATTTTTCCTTAAATAGGGTAGTTCTGTAACCAGCATATAGGTTTAGCTCGTCTAGCCTTAAAATTATTCTTGCATTACTTTTAATTTTATACTTTAAGTGCTTTAAAAAAAAAGTTGATTACTTAAGTTGATACTCTAGCTTCTACAAAAGTGTTTTTAGACAGAAGGCTTTATGCTTCTGTTTGTCAGGTTTTATGGAGGTTTTGGAGGACCCAAATGCAGAGACAGAAAGAGGCATGGATGTGATTTTGCTGATTTAATGGTGTTCCATAAGGCAACCAAAGTCACTTCCAAAAACAAAATACAGAAACCAAAAACTAAAACTAGTCAGGGAAAAACACTTAAAAAGCAAAGAATCAACTAGGAACCAGCAAACAGTAACTGAAGAGGAGGAGTATGTATCGCAAACAGAACAATGACAAGAGTAATCAACTGATTGGGAGGAGGTGTGGACCGAAGAATTTAAAAGGGAGCTAGAAGAAGGAGACTGACACAAGAGGGCAACAGAGGATAAACAAGAAATACAAAAGAACCCTAATACAACCAGAAAGCAACTAAAATACTACAAAATGGAAATGAAACCAATGAAAACTCAAAAAGAAAACTTAAACAGAACAAAACCATGACTCTACATGAGTAATAAACATTAATACTTTTGAAACCTCTGTTGATAAAAACTTCTCTTCGAAACGTAGCTATTTTTTAAAGATATTTGATAAGTATTTATCATTATTTCAATTTACTGTTTTAACAGATCAAACGGCAAAAGGTTCAGCAAATAAAATAAACCTAAAACACTGGCTTGACGTCCATCATAATAAGCTCCAGTAGCAGGATCTGTCAAGAAAAAACAAAGGCTTGGCAGTAAGTTTCCATCCATCCATCCATCCATCCATCCATCCATCCATCCATCCATCCATCCATCCATCCATCCATCCATCCATCCATCCATCCATCCATCCATCCATCCATCCATCCATCCATCCATCCATCCATCCATCCATCCATCCATCAAACCCAGAACCTTTTTGCTGCAATACAACAGTGCTATAAACTGCCCTAACCGTGCATCCCTTATTTTTGTCAGTAGTCATTTGACAGAAACTAGGTCCAATTGTGATGTAATTGTTTCTTGTCTCTGGCTATGTTTGTAGAGCTGCTACACAGTTTTAAGTTTGGAGATATGAAAACAGCGGAATGTAATAATCTGATAAAGTTCTCTTCTACCCTCTTAAAAAACAAGAATGAATAGAATCATAAAATAAGTGTGTATTTTAAGAGAGTAAGAACAATTTGTAACAAAGAAACAATTTTCTTTGTTTAAAAAAAATAAATAAATAAGGCCTTGATGGAACCTGCAAAAAACGTGAGCTTTGGTGATGTTAGGATAAGTATCATTGCTAGTGATAAATCAGAGACAGTGATAAATCATAAAGCACCTCCTACTTAACAATATATAAAGTAATTTAGTATAAAAGGAAGTCATGATCATCAGTTGAGCTTCAGCATCAATCATGTACTCTGTGGCTCTGTTACTGCTGCTAACTGCTGGATCCTGTAAGGAGTTTTAAATTGATTAGACTTATAGTTGATGCACTTAAAATTAGATGAATTATAGTAATAATTTTGTTTTTTTCCCTGTCTCCACAGGTGTGTTCTGTATTGATCTCATCCAGCCAGACTCTAAAGTTGTGCAGCCTGGACAGTCTCTGACTATCACCTGTCAGCCCTCTGGTTACTCTATAACTGATAACAGCTATGCAACAGGTTGGATCAGACATCGGGAAGGAAAAGCAATGGAATGGATCTTTCATATGTGGGGTGGTGGGAACTTTTACCAAAATAATGCTCTGAAGAACAAGTTCAGCTACAGCAGAGACACTTCTGCTGGAACAGTAACAATAACAGGACAGAATCTACAGCCTGAAGACACAGCTGTTTATTACTGTGTGAGGCGGCACAGTGATACAAACCACAGAGGAGGCTGTGCAAAAACAAGTCAGACAGAAGGATTAAATTAAAATCATATGTAAACAAAGTCTGTGGAAAGGAGGCCCCGGTAATCACTGATTTGTGTCACAAACTTTGGGAGATAAAGATGCAATATATGTGGGTTATCAAGAACAGTTGGGTGTTTCAGCATCAAAACTACTCCTATCGCCTTCTTTGGACTATTGTTATGGTTTTGTCAGGAGATCAAGAAATCAGATAACTGAGTTTATTGAAGATAAGGGAATAAGGTAATAGGGAGATCAGGAACTGCAGTGATGGCACAGGAGGCAGGTTCTCTAAAAACACATCACAGGATTAGAACTGACAGAGTGAGGGAATGAATGTATCAGGCATCCATCTTACATTTGCGAGTGATGTCCAGGGTTGTGGCTGTAAGCTGGTGGTGGTGAGTTTGATTCTTTCAAGTAAATGGTGTCTTTAGAGAACTATTGTAGCTGCTGGGCGGGCAGGCCGTGAAGATGGAGTGGTTTCAGTGAAAGTAGTTTGCAGAGGCATTCCCAGAACAGGGAACTGAAAATAACTCACAGATTAATAGAGACATGAAGTATTTTCAAGTGCTCAGAGAGACAGAGAGGTAATACTCCTTACTGTACCTGCAGCTGATGATCCAGCCCAGCAGCAAATGACAGAAGTCGCCCTCTGGTGGAAGAACCTGAAGGATGAAAAAATAACCTAGCCACAACCCCAATCCCTGACAAGTAAAGGAGAACCTACTGAGGCCTTTTCTTTAAATTAAGGAAAATAAAAAATAGATTTTTATTATACATAAAGAATAAAAAAATGAAATAAAAATATTTCAGGCCATTTGTACACAGGTATTAATATGATCCGTATTATTCTTCAGACTGGCAATGTATTCCTCAACTTTTATAACCATAGAAAACTAGAATTTTTGTAACAGTAAGACAAATTCTTCTGTTTTTTTATTTCATCTTCATTATCTGCTTGTGTGTTCTGAAATAAGATAAAATGCATGACTATGATTATTGGAATCCATTCAGTCAAAAGTGCAAAGAACTCATTATGACAGTATTGAAATATTTAAAAGGCATCAGGGGCAGGAATTGTGAAATAATATTTTCCTGTATTTAATAATACATATCTTGCCATTTCTTTGAATAGGCTGTTTGCTGGATAATACACAGGGGTGGGGTGGGGGGTGCGGGGGGCATTGGGCGAATTTTGCTAAGGAAGAAGCACGTCTTTAAAACACTTTTAGGGATAGTAATGGATTCCTCTGCAGTCACCAAATGACCAACATCTACTTAAAACCCATTAAAAGTGTTCTATCCATCATGGATAAACTGCAAGAATACAAAAAGTGGTGGATTGGTTTAGCAGAATAAAGTCACCCATTCATTATACAGTATCTAAAGATATATAAATAAACAGCTTTGAAAAATATGGTTGGTCACCTAATCTGAACAAAAATTGTCCAGGGATCAAATGTAGGTGAGAAACCTTTAGAGAGGAGTTATTAGTCATGCAGAAATTCAAATATATGGGATTGAACTCTGTAGATGGTAGACCTTGTTGGGATCCGGAGGCTTGCCCACCAGAGGGCGCCGAGGATCCCTTCCTGAGGGCTTGTGCTCACCTGCAACACTTGTCTTCCATCTGCTCATCAAGAGGACTCCTACTTAAGGAGGAGGAGACTGACACTCCAGTGCCAGAGTGTTTGCCAGTAATGGTATCAGCAAAACCTGAGCCAGTCTACCAGATCTTGCCTGATTCTTGTGAACCTGTCTGACCCTATTTTCTCCCTGTCTCTCAGAACCTGATTTGCCTGGAAACCTGAAACACTGAAGATAGAGACCTCAACCTGGAATCTGCCTGCCTGCACTCAGTTTGCCTCTGCCAAGCTCTCAGTTCTCCGCCTGCCTGCACTCAGTTCAATCTCTGCTAGCCCTCAGCCTTCTGCCTGCCTACTAGCATCTGGACCCTCAAGTTTCCCCCCCTGCTGATCAGTTCCACTTCTAAGCAGGTATTCCCCCCATCATCTGATAAACAGCAGTTTACCTGGAACTCCTCTAACCTCTCTGTACTCCTCAGTGGAGATCCAGCCGTGACCAGTCTGACCACCCAAGTTCCTGTTCACATTTTATCTACACCTTTGTCAATAAACCTTTTGAACTTTCTCCTAACCTCCGTGTGTTTCTGCATATGGGCTAGACATCTAATCCCATCATGACAGACCTCTTCTCTGGTTTAATTCTCTTCACCTATTTTGCATTGTAAGTGGCTGTAAACTTTCAGTTCAGCATCATATTTCTCTTCTCTCCTTTGTAGCCGACTGTGATGAAAATGAAAACTTAAGGATCAATGGTTTCTTATTTTTATATATTCATAGGCTTTAGCAAAAAGGAAAATACACAAAACATATTGGTATGATTTAAATGGCTGAAATTTGCTTCAAGGTATCAAGTCCAGCAACAATTACAGCCTGGTCCATTAAATATGATTCAGATATAAATTCATATTCTGCATGGATCAACAGTACAACTTTTTGAGTTGCTGACATTAATATTATTATTATCCCCTTCATCTTCTGATATTTACTCATAAGCCTGGAACTCCATGGTTTGTTTGTTTTTATTTTGTTGGAATAACTACTGTATGTCCTGGAAGACTGAGAATCTTGACCAGCAAGTTGGCTGAATGCATTTAGATTTCAGAAGAATTTGATGTAATATGGTTAATTATTTTAAAGTTTAGCTGAATAGTAAGTATGGGACATTTTTGATAAAAAATCCAAAAGGTGCAGTTATGCTTAATTTAAATGTGATGTTTAGAGGATTCATTGGTTTATTTTTCCAATTTCATGTGTGTGATTAAGTTAGTTTATTGGTTGCATAACATTTTCCTAATCTATTATGATATTTATTGCACAGGGTTGAAGTGAAAATATCTCACACAGCCTGCCTCTGATTCTGCAGTAAGTCAGATTCTAATTATCTGCTGTCAGGTCTCTTACTCCGTCTATTGCTCCTGGACAGCTGGAGGAAGGGATTGGAGAAATATGAATATCTTACAGAAAAAACACATATTCCCTCAAATATAAAGGGGAACACCATTTTTTTTTTCATTTTATTATTTTTTTTTTTACATTGGGCCCTTGATTTTACGTTATAAAATCATTTTCTACTCACCCATATTAGTTTTGTGTCATTTGGAGCTGTTCTGAAGATATTCGGTTTTGTTATATCCAAGTAACGTCTTCCTATGGGCAACAAATTTAAGGTAAAACAGACTGACTACTGAACAGTTCTCTTCTAACTTTGATCATTGCATGTTTGCTTGGTGATAAATGAACTCTGTCATGTTTGATGGTAAATGCTCAATTTTCCATATTTACTTCATTATGCCTCTTCTGCAACCAACTATGATAATCAGAAGAGGAAACAGTGGACAAAAACTGCCCTCAAGGAAGAGTGGAAGTATTTCAATATAAAAAATTTAATAATTTCTTCAAATATTTTCACTCAAGAAGAAATAACAATTATCGCCAAAAAAATAAAAACTCACTCAATTAGGATTTAAAAAGTATTTGTTAAAGGAAAGGTTGTTGAAGTTCTGAATAAGACAACTGATTTTAGTTTCTAAAATAATGGGTTAGCTTCACAATAAACTGAAATAATGAAAGTACTTTAAATAGTGGCATTATAAATAAGTAAAACTTAAAAACATAATAAGCAAACAGAAAATATTGGCAAACTACTTAAATTGTATTTGCTGTCCAATAGTTTGAAGATTTTCCAATGATAATACATTTGGTTTAGTTAATCTCTGATAGGTAAAGCAGGCAAGTAAAAGTACTTTTACTTCAAAATCAATATTGCTTATGTAGCAGTAAAAGGTATTGATATTTTGTTATATCTTTGTGAAACCCTAAGACAAAAAAATTTATAGGTTTTTAATTTATTTACCAACAACATTTGGTTAAATTATTTTTAGATATTTTTATCACATCTTTACATAAAATGAAAATACCTGGAAGTGAAAACATCTGTTGCAGTTTTTATTTGAACACAATAGAGGGCATTCATTGTTGCTGATTTTATATTTGATTTTGAATATTATTGAAAATCAGATTAAAACCATGTCTTAAGTTATTTTTTACTTTTCTATTACTTCAGCCATTAGATTATGTGTCTGTTTGTGCAATGAGAATAAAAACTTTCGTTTCTTTTCTCCCTCTGATACATAATATTTCAGCCATTTTCTTTCGATCAGTGAAGAGATCATTGATTCAACAACTTTTTGTATGAAAAATTGTATATATTAAACAGCTTACAATATATAAAACAAGGTTTCGAAAAAAAATCCTGATCATCCTATTTTTTGTCAAGGCAATTGGTATAAAATAAGCAATTTTATACTTCAGATGAAACATTTATTCCATTTATTTTCTATATTTTCTGTTAGTTCTTATACATAAGGTTGAAACTTGAATCAAAATAAAAACATCTACTTGTTAATGACGTTTTTAACAGAACTTAAAAATATGGTTTATGTTTCAAGACAAGAATGTCATTTAAAGGATACTTTGGTTGATATCATGCTTTCAAACGGCAAAGATCCCAGAATATTGCTAAATATAAACTAAAGGTGTGAGTACCCGGGGAATGTCTCTGGTAACATGTGCAGTAAAAAAGAGACTTTTGGTTAATAAGAGTTTTTTAACCATAGGGCTTTGAAAAATTATAGTGAATATGTATAAAATATCCATTACTATATTGATGAATATATCTGATTAAGGAACACGACTTCAAAAGCCATTTTATATCTTTTACTTTTATCAACCCATCTGTGGGTGAAGTAGATTTTAGTTGTAGGGTTTTTTACTGTGATATACTGAGGTGGCACACAAATATACACCAATACAAAAACCTCAGAATAGAAACCCGAGAAAATAATCTTCAAGTATGCAGAGAAAAACTGATAGAAAACCATATTTATTTGAAGAAAATCAGGTAAGTGTGATATGCATCTACATTAATGTTGAAAAGTTTAAAAAAAGCTGTTTTAAATAGTTATAGCAAGAAGATAATTTTGAGTTCAACTAGATTTTAGAATCTTTTATAAGACCCACAAATATTACTCAGCTATATAAAGCTCATTTGGACATTTTTATTTATTCTAGTATTGTGTGTTATACAAATTGATTAATTTTTGCTGCTGCTGCTTTGGTGCTTTAGTTTTCTGTTAAAGAAGTCAGCGGAGAAGATGTAGCATTGTGATTATGATTATAGTTTGGACTACTGGGGAAATGGAAAGTTACAGTTCTCCCAGGTAAGATTTTTTTAAAACATATTTTAAATACTATTTTTTGAGGTTGTCAAAGAGAAGTCAAAGCTATTAATTGATATAAACTTATACAAGGAAGAGTTTTGGGTCATGTTTAATTTTGTTGCAGTAAATATTGTGTTACTTTTTTTTATTTGATCACTGATTGGCAGAATAAAAGTTTTATGTATTACAAGTTTCTTAGAAAAACAGATATTGAGACTGTTGCTTTTGCAATTTTGTGTTGTTATAAAGACAAAATTTTTGATAAACCAAAAAGGAAACTAAGATGGGAAAAAATGTGATTAGCTTTAACTTAATTTAGCTTATGTTGCATTTTTTATGGAAAAAAAAAAAAAAGTCTTTATTCCATTCACCTTCCTATTTATGAAATGGGTGAATGTTTATTTACAAAAAAGAAGCAACTTTGCTTTCAAGGTTTTCCCTTTTTTTAAACTGAGGTGATGTCCAAAAAATAAAAACCTTAAAGGAATTATCTGCAGTTAGATTGAAAATGTAAATGTGAACCAAAATATAAACCAAACATTCTCTGTTTATTTTTAACCTATACATAGTAGGATATATACTTTTAAAACTTTTAAGCTTCACATTATTCGGTGAGTTATTGACACAGTTGTGGAAATATCTTCGGGACAAAAACTCTGAACATTTTCTTTTTACAGATATTGATGGTCTGAGATTTGTTCATTGAGACATACATTTGTTGAAAAATTTTGTCAGAGCTTTTTTATGTTTTCATAGTACAGCATCAGCTAAATTTTAGTATTTCATCCAGCTATGTTGTTTCATTAATTATTTTTACCATGTTTTCATTTTTATGAAATGTAATTTATTTATAGTCTTGTTTGCTCTAATATGTCAGTGCTAAATTTTCTTAACCTTTTCCAATGAAATGTTTGATTTATTTGAAATATTGAAATTGCCTGTGAAATTTTCATTGAGTCATTAATTATACAAGGACACTAAAATCTAAATATATCAATGACATTGAAAAGATAACCTTTAAGGTTTATTTTAAAGCCAACAAACAATAGTAGTTTGTATAAAAAACACACAAAATGATACACAAGAAAACATTTAAAAAGTTTAGGATTCAAAAATGAATGACATTTTTTTCTACATACAGAGTTTGCTTTTATGCTTGGACAGCTGGATCATCTACGTTTTCAAATTTAATTAGATTTTAGTCTTGGCTAATGATTCTATTGCTCTTATCAACTTCTCAACATGTGCTTTCTGTAAAAGCTAAATAAGGTGCAATGTCTGTCCTCCAGCCATTACTGCACTAAAAAAAATGAATTTTTGGTGCAGTAAAATCTATTAGAGTATCTGTCATAATTTCTACTCTAAAAACTAGGATCTCTAAAGTAAAATTAAACCTTTTTTTGTAATGCATGACTTTTGGGGAAATAGGAAGTTTACTTAGATTTCCGTATACTATTTAAAGGTTTAATAGCAGTATGTACATAAACCTTAAAAAACTAGATAAACTTTACTTT